ATGCATAGCACGAAGACGTTCAGGAACGCAATTGAAGATAGCCCATCGGCGGCGCTGTTACAAGTATTATCCATGGCTATCCCAGGTGCAATGGCGGCGGCAGATATGTCCGCGGACAGAGCTGAAACGTAATCAACTACTACGTTGAGGGGCAACCAACAGATGCAGAATAGTCCGATTACCAACGCCAGCGTGCTTTAACAACCGCAGCGTGCGGCTTGCAACTTTCTCTCGTCTTGCGGCGGGCCGCTTGCGCGGGCGCCACCGCCCGCCATGGGTTACGGAGACGCGCAGGACAAGCTGGCTCGGCGCCAATGTGCGCAGGTGTTGCGCAGACATCTCTCTCGGCATCCTGCCGTACAATCATCAGCATGCGGCCAACATCCTGCGTCATCGTCATCGCGATCAGGCGCGAACGCCGAAGCTGCGATGCCGCGTGCAGCGTCAGACAGTGGCGCGCGCGGTGGCGTCGACGTACAGCAAGATGGCGCGCGATCATGAGACGCCGCTAGACGCCACGTGTACACAACACGGCTATGCATTCCGCCGCGCCACGCCCGTCAGCAATAGCGTCGTGACGCAGGTGGGTTTTGAACACCGTCAGTAAGCGCTCGCAGCGTCACGAAGAAAGAAAGCTGACGATCGAAGGCGCCACAGGCGAGCGACGGCTAGGCTGCTCACACAGCAGGCACGCAGTAAGCCATGAGTTGCTGAGCTCCCGCGCGCGTAGACGATAGCCTGGCAGCAGCGCGGGCGACGCCGACCAGGCAATGCGGCTAGCGTCAGTTGGTGATGAAGACGTAGGTGGTGCCACGTAGGCTGCGCTGGAAGGCCGACGAGGCAGCGGCGAGTACGGGAAGATTCGTGCAGACGAATGCAGACCCTTGCAGTGCGAGCACGAATATCACTCACGTCGGCACTGCGCCGCCGCCGCCGCCACGTGGTCCGGCTGCAATGCGTCGACGCCTGCATCCACCAGGTGGCGTTGTCGTCATCATAAATATCGTGTCGGTCATAGGCGTTTAGGTGCCGAGGTAACGGCAGTATACCCTAAACGCCAAACGCATTCGTCTACTAGGGGCAAAGTTGCGGCGGGTGTTTTTTCCTTAAAAGCATTAAACCTAGCCAAGTACAGTGGTATATATATATATATATATCTATATATATATACCACTGTACGTTGGCTACATATATATATATCATATATAATATATAATTAATAATATTATATAAATAAATAAAAAATAATATATATATATACTATATATATATATATATATAAATATAATATATATATATATAATATATAATATATATTATTTTATTTTTTATTTATATAATATTATAATTATATATATATATATATGTATATATATATAGCCAACGTAGCGTGTATATTATATTTATATATATACTATATATTATATATCTATATATATAATATAAATATACTATTAACTAGCACATGAATACACACCCCACGCACACACGCACACACGCACACACGCACAGCGGCACGCGGCAGAAAAATTTATGAGACGAGATACCAGAGGCGCGTTTAGTTTACACATCGTACGCTGCTTCTATTACTGAGGCCTCCTCGTAATTAATGGCGGCCCGCTACTCCTGTTGTACGGCGTCTGTCCGCTTTTCCACGATCAGCTCATTGTTAGGAGATCACGGGGTCCGATCAGCGGCACGATTGGCTTGCCCTACATGGCAAACGTGTGTGTTTGTGCAGCTTAGTCGTACAGCTCCGAGGACGATGCAGTAGGTGACGGCAGGTTTGGGCGGTTCTTTCTACTACGTCTTTTACGTCAAGTTAGGTAAGCACCAGTGGAGCGATGACGGACAAGGCAATAGCGCGAGGTGGGCTAGACTGGCACTCGGGAGGCTGGGCGAGAGAGGAGGCGAAAAGAGAGAAGAGAGAGAAGAGCGCGCACATAAAAGAAGCTACGAGAAAGAGGGGGGCGAGAGAGAGCTGCGCCGCGTGTGTGTGAGAAAAGTCCTAGGGAGGCCTATGAATTGGGCGCGACAATGTGGCTTCGCACGAAGAAATAGAACTCACAATAAGTGGCCTGGCCAACCTCACGCATGCGCCGAAGCGCCGAGTAAAATATCGTGGTCGCGTGTAAGAGCTTTATCGATCACACTTCCCTTTCGCTCAGAGGATTCCTGTTTATATTGGCGTGATCGTGTACGCAGCTGACGGGCCGAGCGCGCAGCTGCCGTGATGTGTCCGTGAAGACGGGAAGCGCTGACGAATGACGATGGTGTCGGCTAACGTCGCATCGACCGCTGCCGACATTGCGCGAGTCACGACGTTCAAAATCACCCTGTACTACGTAGAATCGTCAAAAAGAAACGCGTACTTCGCTTGCGGAAACGATAAGATAGCAATACAGACTTACAAGAATCAGATATCGTACAGAATTCTTCATTCAGCATTCTCGGCTGGGCAGGCGCGTCATCTCTATTTTGCCTTTGGCTCCCTCTCTCTTCTCACTTCTTTCTGCGCTCTCCCCACGTATGTATGTATGGTATGTATGTATGTATGTATGGTATGTAATGTATGTATGTATGTATGTCTGTATGTATGTAATGTATGTTATGTATGTATGTATGTATGTATGTATGTATGTATGTATGTATGTATGTATGTATGTATGTATGTATGATTATGTTATGTAGTAATGTATGTATGTATGTATGTATGTATTAATGTATGTAATGTATGTATGTATGTATGTATGTATGTATGTATGTATGTATGTATGTATGCTATGTATGTATGTATGTAATGTATGTATGTATGTATTATGTATGTATGTATGTATGTATGTGAATGTATTATTGGGTTTTTTTAATGTATGTATTAATGTATGTTGTATGTAATGTATGTATGTATGTATGTATTATGTAATTGTATGTATGGTATGGTATGCTATGTATGGTATTGGTGATGTATGTATGTATGTA